ATATCTCACAATTCAACTTTATATCTCGCAATTCTGACTTTATATCTCGCAATTCCTACTTTATATCTCGAAATTCTCACTTTATATCTTGCAATTATGACTTTATATCTCGCAATTCTGACTTTATATCTCGAAATTCTCACTTTATATCTTGCAATTATGACTTTATATCTCGCAATTCTGACTTTATATCACACAATTATGACTTTATATCTTGCAATTCTGACTTTATATCTCGAAATTCTGACTATTTATCACACAATTCTGACTTTATATAACGCAATTCTGACTTTATATCTCGAAATTCTGACTATTTATCACACAATTCTGACTTTATATCTCGAAATTCTGACTTTATATCTCGAAATTCTGACTATTTATCACACAATTCTGACTTTATATAACGCAATTCTGACTTTATATCTCGCAATTCTGACTTTATATCTCACAATTCTGACTTTATATCTCGCAATTCTGACTTTATATCTCGCAATTCTGACTTTATATCTCGCAATTCTGACTTTATATCACGCAATTCTGACTTTATATCTCGCAATTCTGACTTTATATCTCGCAATTCTGACTTTATATCTCGCAATTCTGACTTTATATCTCGCAATTCTGACTTTATATCACGCAATTCTGACTTTAAATCTCGCAATTCTGACTTTATATCTCGCAATTCTGACTTTATATCTCGCAATTCTGACTTTATATCTCGCAATTCTGACTTTATATCACGCAATTCTGACTTTATATCTCGCAATTCTGACTTTATATCTCGCAATTCTGACTTTATATCACGCAATTCTGACTTTATATCTCGCAATTCTGACTTTATATCTCGCAATTCAACTTTATATCTCACAATTCTGACTTTATATCTCGCAATTCTGACTTTATATCTCGCAATTCTGACTTTATATCTCGCAATTCTGACTTTATATCTCGCAATTCTGACTTTATATCTCGCAATTCTGACTTTATATCACGCAATTCTGACTTTATATCTCGCAATTCTGACTTTATATCTCGCAATTCAACTTTATATCTCACAATTCTGACTTTATATCTCGCAATTCTGACTTTATATCTCGCAATTCTGACTTTATATCACGCAATTCTGACTTTAAATCTCGCAATTCTGACTTTATATCTCGCAATTCTGACTTTATATCTCGCAATTCTGACTTTATCTCATGCATTGACTTTTTAACACACAATTGTGACTTTATATCTCACAATCCTACTTTATATCTCACAATTCAACTTTATATCTCGCAATTCTGACTTTATATCTCGCAATTCTGACTTTATATCTCGCAATTCCTACTTTATATCTCGCAATTCCTACTTTATATCTCGCAATTCCTACTTTATATCTCGCAATTCTGACTTTATATATCGCAATTCTGACTTTATATCTCGAAATTCTCACATTATATCTTGCAATTCTGACTTTATATCTCGCAATTCTGACTTTATATCTCGCAATTCTGACTTTATATCTCGCAATTCTGACTTTATATCTCGAAATTCTCACTTTATATCTTGCAATTCTGACTTTATATCTCGCAATTCTGACTTTATATCTTGCAATTCTGACTTTATATATCTCGAAATTCTGACTTTATATCTCGCAATTCTGACTTTATATCTCGCAATTCTGACTTTATATCTCGCAATTCTGACTTCATATCTCGCAATTCTGACTTTATATCTCGCAATTCTGACTTTATATCTCGCAATTCTGACTTTATATCTCGAAATTCTGACTTTATATCTCGAAATTCTCACTTTATATCTTGCAATTCTGACTTTATATCTCGCAATTCTGACTTTATATCTCGCAATTCTGACTTTATATCTCGCAATTCTGACTTTATATCTCGCAATTCTGACTTTATATCTCGAAATTCTCACTTTATATCTCGCAATTCTGACTTTATATCTCGCAATTCTGACTTTATATCTCGCAATTCTGACTTTATATCTCGCAATTCTGACTTTATATCTCGCAATTCTGACTTTATAACATGAAATTGCGACTTAATATCACGTAATTATGACTTCATATCTCGCAATTGCGAGAAAAAAAGTCAGAATTGTGAGATAAAGTCGCAATTACCTATTTTATTTTTCATTCTGTGGCGGAAACAAGCTTCCATAGAAATCTCAGCATTGACTGAGCGCAGAGACGTGTAAAAAGAAAAAAGATAAAATCACCTCTGAGATGTAAAACATGCCTCATTAGTCCTGAAATGGGCATTCACTGCCAAATAGCTATGAAATGAAGACATTAAGACTTCTGCATGGTACTATATTAATCAAATTAAAATGATATAATGCTAATTACATTTTGTCTAGAGAATGAATATTGTGTGGAAAGAGACAAGGACGTGCAATCTCAATTTCTAATGCATTCTTCCGTGATGTCAACATTGATATGCACCGTCCTTTAGCATCTGAGGACACTAAATATGTAATTCCCTTCCAGCCCTGACACATCGGCCATCCTGCAATCTGAGGTGACATAAATCAGCCAAACATCCAGCTGCTCATCTGCATCTGCACTCTTCACTCTTCACAGACCTGATCTCCACAGGTCCCTTGAGAGCCCAATGCCCTTCACACCATCTTACTCCAGTCTAACACTCCTTTCACAGGAAGAATCCTGACGCAAACGAAACGAGAAGTATGGCTTGAACGTAAACATCACATTTCATGCATAAATCTGCATTGCAAAGTCGTTTTAGTCACAGTTAGGGATCAGGCCCCAGGCAAGCACAGTGAACGTGTTTTGTCAGGTAACCTAAATATATGCTTCCTGTGGTAACATCTAAATGAAGGGGTTTAATTCGAGTCAACATTTTGTGTAATATGACAGAATCAATCAGACCGGATGACTAAAATTAAGTCATTAACATCCTTTGTGTGGTGGAATTTAATTATCATTGATGCTCAACAAGTATAAAATATCACCGTCCACAACAAAAGAGCAGAGGAGGCAGGCAAGAGGCAAACACTCCTTTGATAAATAAAATTTGTAAGACAAGTAGAGCACTGTTGCAAACATAATATATATATATATATATATATATATATATATTTACCTCAGTTCAATGTCTTCATATACCCTACTGGATAACACTTTACTTAAAGGGGTGTGCATAAGACTGACATGACACCTTCATAACCATGACATGACATGTTTTTTATGAATATGAAGTAGGGTCTATGCATGTTTGTGACAACTGTAATTAAGTGTCATTCGCCCAATAATGACATTTTGAATACAAATATGACATTAAGATGTCTTTGTTATGACACCTTGACACAAACCAATACATCATAACCTGTCAGTGTCGTTGTCATGACAACTCGACATTAAATTAAGTTAATCTGTAATCTTTGACATTGGCTGTCATGAGGCATTATAACTGTGTCATGAATATTTTTCGTGAGCTCAACTACAGTAGCACTAAATAAATTTGTCATTAAAAAGTTATAATGGCTTCATGACAGCCAATGTCAAAACCAACCACCTAAAGTTTAATGAAATATTAACCAATAAAGTTAGGTGCTTTCTTAAGTTTGATCATTAATCTGCTAAATCTCATGTTTATGACAGGTTGTGTTGTCTTAGTAATGTCATGTTGTCATGACAAAGACACTGACAGGTTATGATGTATTGGTTTATGTCAAGGTGTCATAACAAAGACCGTCATATTTGCATTAAAAATTTCCGGTTCCTCCTATAGCCCTGCAAGATTTGCTCTTTTTTTAAGTGTGATTTAAACTTACACTTCATTGATGTTGTAAATTTTGTTTTATTGATGGGTAAATATCACGTCCATACTTTTAAATGGAAAAAAGTAAGCCCTCCTTTAATATATTTCTATGTGATTTCACTCAAATATTTCAGAGCTTCAAATACTTCAAAAAAACGTAATAGAAAGTTTGAAACTTTATGTCTCTCTTTATCAAAATATTTACTTTTTTAGTATTTTAATTCCTGTTATGTGATTGTCTTGACCCCTAAATCCATACTCTGTATTGATCTAAATTGAAGTGTCTTACAGTTTTGTTTGTCCCCTATCTTGTTCTGTACATAATGCAAAAAAAAAAAAAATTATAATAATAAAAAAAAATTATAATAAAAAAAAATTACAGTTGTCACAAACATGCATAAAACTTGATAAACCTTCATAAACATGATTATGGTGTCATGTTAGTCTTATGCACACCCCTTCAAGTAAAGTGCCAAAAAGAATAAAAAGTGTAATTGAAGAGTTCAGATGCAAAAGCCTCTAAGTGCCATTTGAAATTTTCTTCTAAAATGATCATTTTTATCAAGCTTGTATATTTAAGTTCAGTAATTTCACTTAAATGACAATTAATAGGTAATTATCATTGCCATTTAAGTGAAATTACTGAACTTAAATATACAAGCTTGATAAAAATGATCATTTTAGAAGAAAATTTCAAATGGCACTTAGAGGCTTTTGCATCTGAACTCTTCAATTATTAAAATAAAATGCACTTCCACAATAATCTTATGTATAATGTTTTCCAGTCCAAATACTTGTAATTAGCAAACAGCAACATCATCCCCCAGTACCAATCATTGAAGGATATACATCCTACAAAGTTTTAAATAAATTACCGAAACCGAACCAATGTTACATGAAAGTTTGGAGAGTTAGTGCGTCTCTGGCCGGGTTTGTGGCCCTGTGATAGTTCTGCCCTCGGGCCCCTGCTTTGATCGGGCCCTGCTGTACATCCAATTAATCAGGACCCAAAGCACAGTACGAGAAAGTTGAAAAGATCAGTAAACACATGAGGGGAAGGAAGAACTGACTCTACATGCAAAAACCTTAACAGATCGACCACTGAGAGGAACACACACACAAGTAAACAGAGCAACGGCTCTCCATCAGAGCCATCCGCCAATTCTATCCAAGTCATTCCCAGAATCAAGAGTAAAAGACTGCACTTACTATAGTGAAGTTCATAACTTTGAGGATCCAGATGGTGAGAGCGAGGTTGACCACGATGAGGATCATGAGGAGGAGGACAAAGAAGTAAAGGCAACGTTTCCGCCAGCCGTAGATCCCCACTTTATACAGTTGCGGTTTTTCAGTACTCTGGACATTGTTCCTATGAGGGCACTGTTCCTGGGTCATCTGAAATTACACACAAATACAACATTAATTGAAGATTTTAGAATCAGTAATACAGTTTTTATGGATAAACAATATTTAATGTGGAATTATATTGGATTAACCTGTTTTACATGAGGTATTCATATGTTAGAAACGTACAGGTGTAACTCCTGAACCGTCCTGCATCCGAAATCAAATATTTCGGGAACACTTTACAATAAGGTTCAAACTACATTCGTTAACATTAACTAAGAATGAACAGCATTTGTTAATCTTTGTTAATGTTAATTTCAACATTTACTAATACTTTCTTGTTAACATTAGTTAATGCATTGTGAACTAACAAACAATGAACACACTGTAAACAAATATTGAAGGTTTAACTTTAAAAAAAGTAAGTAACTTGGGCTTCCTTAAAATTTTAAGTTCATTGAACTGGAAAAAGTGAGTTAATGCAATGAAGGAGATTAATTTAACCATCAGAAACTCAAAATTATATGTTATCTCAACTAAATAAATTATTTAAGTTGATTTGACAAAAGGAAAAATGTTGTGATTACTACACTGTAAAATTTTTTTGTTGGTTTAACTTAAAAAAGTAAGTAACCTGGTTGCCTTAATTTTAAGTTGATTGAACTGGAAAAAGTGAGTTAATACAATGAAGGAGATTAATTTAACCATCAGAAACTCAAAATTATATGTTATCTCAACTAAATAAATTATTTAAGTTGATTTGACAAAAGGAAAAATGTTGCGATTACTACACTGTAAATTTTTTTTGTTGGTTTAACTTAAAAAAGTAAGTAACCTGGTTGCCTTAATTTTAAGTTGATTGAACTGGAAAAAGTGAGTTAATACAATGGAGATTAATTTAACCATCAGAAACTCAAAATAATAAGTTATCTCAACTAAATAAATTATTATAAAATTGATTCGACAAAAGAAAATATGTTGTGATAACAAATCTTGAAAATATTTTTCATAGCAGCTATGAAACAACCCAGACAGCAACATACAGTAGTGTTGGCCCACATCTGGTACACATGGGTTCCACATGGTCCAGATCTGGGCCGACACTATATTGCTGTCTGGGAATGTCTAGTGAAGTTTTGTTCACGCATCAGCTGAAATCAGCACACACCAAAAGATTGATTTTTGGGATTTAAGAAGTGATATCGGTCCACCAATGTGAAAATCGGTTCGAATCGAGGTCAATCCAATTAAAACTTTTCTTGAAAATTGAATAAAAGATTGTTCAAAACTATATATGCAACATAAACAGAAAGACTACGGTTTTAAGAAAGTTATTTTTCTTTATTTTATTGTGGTCACTCTTATATTGTACATCACAGACCCATGAATCTTTTCTTATCTTTATGTTTATTCTTTATATCTTCTTCCTGCTAATGCACAACTATTTGCCTTCCCCCTTGCAGAGGAGTATTAGCAAATTAATTATGCTGTTTTTCCTCGTTGAGTCCCAATAATCACTTCACCTCTTATTTAGGTTAAATCTTTGAAAGCCTCAGAAACCCCATTCAGACACGCTGAACATCAGAATAGCCGAAGGATGTGCAATTATTTATTGTATGTGCATATCTCAATGATGCAAAGAGGTTTTTATTCTTAATTATGGAGACACCAGATCATTGACATCAATTATTTTTAATAAATGGTGCATATTGCCTGTCCTGGGAAGAAAATATTGTATTTTAAATAAATATTATTATTTTTTTTTAAAAAGCACTATGTTATTATAATTTTTTTGTATAATATATTCATTAGAGAAAGTCAATGTTCTTGAGCTTGTGTTAACCACAGACCTGATTTCAAGCATTTAACCAAAAACCCATAAAAAAAAGAAAATGGTTTTATGGTTTGGCCATAAAACCTCTCCCATGCATCAAGGGTTAGTAAGTGTTCATTAAGTGTGCACTCCAGGATCTCGGTGCAGTAGGACGTAGTACTACTCTTTTTGCATTATGTTTTGCTCTTACTATTTAGTAAGGAAATATTGGTAACACTTTACAATAAGGTTCATTTATTTAACATTAGTTAATGTATTAACTAACATGAACTAACCATGAGCCAATTTGTTACTGTACTTGTTAATCTTTATCAACTTTAGTTAATACAAATCCAGCATCTCATCTGGGGGTGAGTAAATACTGACAGAATTTTCATTTTTGGGTGAACTAACCCTTTAAGTGCAGTAAGCCACTAATTTTGGTACTTGCGACTCACCGAGGCGGCGTGTGCGCTCCACTTTAATTAGATTATGCCATACTACTTAAGCTTTCATTTTAAATGCATTTCATTTTTTTAACTTCTTCAGCTTACACTTGTATAATCCTGTCATTAAAAGTACTATTTTAACAATCTGAAACGCAAGTGTCAAAGCGCATGGCGCAAGTAACTTTGTGGGCGGGTCCCGGTGCTGTTGCTATTTTCCCGGCGGGATAAATGTCTCTTGCGCCTGGCGCAAATCTAAAAGTGTTTGGTCTGAAGTAGCTTCATTATTCATAGGTGTGGTTTGGGCGTAACGTGAAATAAACCAATCAGAGCGCCATCCAACATACCCTTTAAGAGCAGGTGCGCATGTTGCATGACGGATTGTTATTATAACGGCGGGTTTACCAGGCGCGCGCCAGGAGCGTTCACAGCCGATGAGACCGACGCTCTTGTCAGGACACGTGAAAGACAGAGAGGTGACGTTGTACGGGGATGGGAGAAACTCTCGCACATCAGCGTCGGTTAAACATTATAGCCTATACGTGTGTTTCTTGCCACTATTGGGCAAACAGGTCTGATCCTTCAGTACTACAATTAGCCTTAAAAAATGGGTAATTGGGTTTTTTTCATCTTCATGTAAACCACAATGATTTCCCTCATGTGTTAATATTTTTTCTTGTTATAATGTATGATTTGCAAAAATAAAAACTGCTGCATCTGTGTTGATGAGAGAATCAGTGTATGTGCGTTATGCACCCGCTACATTATGGCCAAGCATGCGCGCTTAAAATAGCATTATGAACAACACGCCACTGACTTACACCAGGTTTTTTCTAGTCAGCGGCGCAATTGTTGTCTGGAAGTGTAAAATAGCACCAGGGAATGTTTGCACCGAAACACGCCTCCTTTTTGTGCCGATTTGTTCATTCCCTAGTTTACCGACGTGCGTCTGTGGAGGGGAAAATCCCGCTTTGCGCGCGTGCTAAATACGAATGAGACATGCGTTTGTGTATAAAGTCATTTGCGCCGGGTGCAAGATAGGGCCCTTTCTGTGCATTGCATTTGTAACATATTTGTTTAACAAATGAACAGGTCACAAAATGCAATTACAGCAATGCACAAACTGTGCACTTTCACTTTGATGTTGAATGTTCATTGTAGTAATAAAACGACATGAATAATTGCATATTCATCTGGAAGTTAAATTACATTTCTGCAAAATGTCCTTGTGCGCTGAAAACAACATGCAGCCAGCCAACATCCACAATAAAACTTAGCCTGTAATTAAAGGAAGGCTTGAATGCAGAGCTCAGAGTCGTTGCTGCTCCGGGGCTCACGCTACTGTAAAGGGACTTGCTGATGCTGAAGGACAGGTCAGGTGAAGTGAAAGCACTACAGCGCTGGATCCTCGGGGAGCAACTCACTCATCTGTGAACTCAAGTGTTTGTGTCCTACCCTTGTCAGCCGCAAATACTACAGATGTTAGCCGTATCGTAACAGGGACTGGTCACAAAATAAGGAGGGAAATGACCTACGGTTAAAGATTAAGGAAAACCTCAAAATAGAGCATAATACACTCACTGTAAAACAATATTGTTGGTTTAACTGAAAAAAATAAGTAACCTGGTTGCCTTAAAAATGTAAGTTCATTGAAATGGAAAAATTGAGTTAATACAATGAAGGAGATCGATTTAATCATCAGAAACTCAAAATATTATGTTATCTGAGCTACATAAATGATCTAAGTTGATTTGAGAAAAGAAAAAATGTTGTGATTACAAATCATGAAAATATATTTTACAGTGTAAGCCACTCTAAGAATATTATTGTAATTTATGCATACGTTTATTTACAACATTGTAACGATTTGGAATTAAGTTTATTATGGTTGAATATAGTAATGTGGTCACGCTAAATGTGTCTCTATAGCATGCATTGTGTTTATCGAGCAATTTATACGCAAAAATGAGTTTTTACGTGCATAGGATATGCATAGGTTTAGTAGTGGTGTGGGGTGCGTGTGTATTATACTCAATAAAGTGTGTATCAAATACATGTGAAAACAAAAATAATATATTTTTTGTGTATAAATTGCATGATAAACACAATGTGTGCTATAGAGACAGGCTGAATTAACAAAGCTCGAAATGCTGTAGATGTATTTTTCACGAATCTAGTTAACTAATGTCAACGAATTGAATCACAACATGGGCCCTATCATACACGCGGTGCAATGCGGCGGCGCGACTCAAGTGTTTTTTGCTAGTTTCAGCCTGACGCGGTTATCATTTTTACGTCCTGTGTCACGTTGTTTAGCAAATGCATTTGCGCTCATTTGTGCACCCATGGGTGTGCTGGTCTGAAAACGAGGTGTGTTCGGGGGCATTGTTGGCGCATTGCTATTTTTAGGCAACTGAAATAGACTGTGCCAACTGATACCTGGTCTAAAGTCAATGGCACAGTAATTTTTTTAATTTTTTTAACCTGTTACGTGTCATCCTCCTTTTTTTTTAATATACATGAAAATGCACACTTCGAACTTAAATGGTTGTAATTCAAGAATACTTTGGAAGTGAAATAAATTAATAAAGTGAAACAGAAAAAAGTTATAGAAGTTTGAGTTTATGAAAATGTACAATGTAAAAAAATTGATAATTCATATTTTATATAAATATATATTTTCAAAACCTGGGTGACTCTAAAACTGCAAAAAAAAAAAAAAAAAAGCCAAAAATCTGAACAAGTTAGGTTTAAAATTTTAGGTTTATATCTCAAAAAATGAGCTTTCA